TATATATATATGTAAATTAAAACGTCCTTCCGAAGCGGGTGACGAGACTTCACTTCCGGCGACCGACAACTTCTTACGGACAATTTTTGAACAAATCACCCACCAATTTTTAACTTTCCCCCTTTCTTTTTAAGCGCCGACAAGATTATATTTTTAAATTGTAAGTGTAGGATCATAGATTGGTGGAATCACATGCACACTTCAGATAGTAGAATAGATGAAATATATATATTTTTGATTATCTTGTTTCCATAACAAATGGGTCAACCACGATTAATTATTGATTAAAAGATGAGTTATTCAAGAACATAAAGCTTTTTTACTCCCCTATTTAATACAAAATGTTTTAGACTCCCTATTCAAGAACATAACGCTTTTTGACTCCCCTATTTAATACATGTTGAAGGACCTGTGTATGTACTTATTTTTAGGCCAAGACCAAGGGATTTAAGATAAACACATTAAATAATATATTTTATTTTTTCATTAGAACTTCTAAATTAGGTTCATATTTTATGGTTTCCTAAATTTTTATTATCTTTTGGTTTTTTTGCTGATTTTGATGTTACCTATTTTAGATGCACGTTCAATAAAAGAAAAATACTTCTATCACAGTTCTTTTTTTCTTAAATCATCATTTAGTTTGATCTAGTAGGAATTAGAATTTTATGGCTTTATCCACTATAAAGGCTAGTTATGTCGTTGGAGGTAGTTGCGCAGATACTTTGTCTAAACAAACCATTAGATGACTATGAAATCAGGCTAGAATATGTGATTATGGTATAATTTCTTTACTTTAATTATAGCCTGACCTTAATAAGTTCAATCTTCAACTCTCCCTATTTAATATGAAACATGGATGGACAAGCCGATGTGATTAAATTCCAGATCGTAGACTTGATCCAGATCTTTTACATGATGTTCACATAAATTACTGCATATCATTTAACTCTACAATAACAAACCCATTTAGGAAAGTGCAAATATTGTTCATTACCTTTATGATGGTGTTTGGCATTACATAAGTAGAATGACATCACCTTTTAGTCGTACTTTTCCTAGTGAGCCTTGATGGTTTTATATTGATGCCCTCTTGAATTTTGATTTAATGATGGCCATTTCATAGACCTATTGGAAAATTATTTGGCTTTCTGTGATCTATTGAGCAACTGGGCAGCACTTCTTAACGGCAGCCCCATTTAAATGTGTGATAGTCAATGCACATCATTTATCATCCTCCTTAATATTAGAACCATTAATGAACCGCGCAATAAGCATTTAGTTTGTGCCTCTTCTTGTCTACAGTCCCAAATATTTTCTTTTTTATCTCATCACTTTTCAACACATAGTGTTCGTCAATGATTTTTTTTATTAGGGCTCCTTTGGTGTAGGGCAATTCATGCTCCCTTGCACTCTTGGATGGCAACCTCTTCACATCTTTGAATAATATTGGGTACTTCTACAAGAACTGTTGTACCTACGTCTGACAAGAACAAGCACATGAGAGTGATATGATTTATGTTTTTGCTCTAGTTTGTTTTCTTGTCCGTGAAACAATACAAAGCCACGACGAAAGTTTATCATTTTTTTTGTTTATCCATGAGATACACATTCAAGAAGGGTAGTAGATGAGGAATTATATGAAATTTTATCTTGTCCTTTAGTAGATGCTACTTCTGCAACTTTTTATAATAAGTATCATTCTTTTCCCACAAATAAATTGATAAATTCTATAAGAAATATTAGACAAACATCCAAGGGTACTGCTCATAAGTTACCTAAGACTATAGTGATGAACTTTTTTTGGAACGTTTTTGATACTAGAGTTAACTGAAATCACAATACGAAAAGTTAATATTATTACCGGAAGCAAAAGGCGGTTACGAACAAACACACTTGAAAGAGAAATTACACAAACACGACAAGAAAACTCACGTTAGGGTGGATCTTGGGCGGTGATAGTGATGGTTAGGGAGCTTGGTGAGGGGGCGGCATGGTAGGGAAAATATTTCCGGGATGGGGATGAGGGTCGGCATCTATTAGGAGTGGCTGGAACAGTAGGAAAGCAAGGGCAGACTTGTAAACAACAACAGTTTTCTGTTTGGGGCCAGCAACAGGAAGGGAGAAGAGTGATGGGGGTGGCGGAAGCAATGTGGAAGGCTGGTAGGTTGCTAGGGAAGGGCGGCTGGGAGGTATGGGGTTGCATGTGACAACAAATGTGCTGCCCTTGGGGTGGCTGCAGCAGTTAAGGCGACAACGGTAGCGGAGGGAAGGTTGTGGAAGATGGAGAGGTCTAGGATAAATGCCACATCGGGAGCAAGAGACAGCCGGAACACCACTCGACTCTTGGAGGAGAATCACCACCTCAGAATGAGATATAACTGGGCCACCATTCGCCCTTGGATATAGTCCTAGATGAGAAATTAGGGGATGTTGATGGCTGTCCTACCAGAAAACACAGTCAAAACTGAAAACCTAAATCATAAGAATCAAGCATATAGTAATAGGATAACTAGGTGTGAGGCCCCGCTACTTGAAAGAGGCGCTACTCCCCTTGAAAGAGCTGACTGGTTCTCAAGGACGCTGGACTGAACTGTCCGAATGTGCCCAGGTGCGATTCTACTCCAAGGCACAATTCTGCGCTCTACACTCAAGATCCGAGACGCTCGCGCGCTTTTGTGGTTTACCCTATTCTAGATTCATCTAGGGGGTGTGATCTTGGATGCAAATTTTTAATCTCCCCCCGCTCCATTAGATTATTGGTAATTAAAATATTTCAGCTTATTGTGTTACAAACCCTCATTAAATGAAAATATGACACTAAATAGGACACAATGGAGAAAAAGTATTCATGTAGCCGACCCCACGCAGTGGGATTAACGCTTTGTTGTTGTTGTTGTTGTATTGTGTCAAAGATAACTAAAAACAGACGTCTTGTCCTAGACAATGAGGTGGAATAGCTCTTATTTTCATTGTTCCTTTTTGCCACATCCCATGAAGGTTCATTTTGGATCAGTTCGTACCATTGTCTCAAGGTCGGTCACCTCATTTCTGACTGCGCATTCTTCCCATTTTCGTGAATTCAATTTTTTTAATTCTGGATGAACTTTTCAATAAATTTAATTTTGATTGCTTTCCTTATTTTTTAGTACGCATATATTAATCTCTTTTCTTAATTCATTTCCTTCTCCATGGTCTCATTTTTTTTTTTCTTATTTTTTCTTTTGATTCAATGTTGTGCTTTATTCTTCTAAAGCTTTCTCTTTGGTGTCAGCTGGCTTCTACAGTAGTATTGTTAGGAAGAGCTTCAATTTTTTTCAGATTCCCTCATATAACTCCTCATGCTTCATGAAGACCAGTCTTTCTGTAATGATATTTTTAGGTCAATTACTTTCTTAAACAACTCGCTAGCATTTTGCTTGAACTTTTTTTGTTAATTGTTGTTATTTGATCCAGTCCTAACCTTCATGTACCATGGACTTTATTTAACTGATCTTTAAACAGACTCTTAACTGGTCCACATCATTTTAGACGTTTGGATTTTGGGTTTAGCGTTTCACCTTTTAAGTTTATCTAAGAATAACTTAAGGTGAGCAAAAGCTATTTTTTGTACATTCTTGCAATTTAAAGTAGAGAGGCACTTCTCCAGGTACTCAATTTATTTGTTCATCTTGTTTGAATTCAAGAATACTTTACATTTAGCAATTTTAGTTTCACATCTATGTTGAATGGAAACATATTTAATGGTTGATTTCCATGTGCTTTTCGTGGATTAGTTAGCACCTTATATCACCTTCTTTGCTTGCATAAAAGCCATTTATATGGCTCCCTTTCTCAAGCAAAGTGAGTAGGGAGAGAATAATTTCTAGAGCAAGCAAGTTTAGAAGAAAGATACTTGAAGAGATCATAGAGGGATTCATTGAGGGTTTAGCTTGCCAATTGGAAGAGATTGGATTCTTGTTGAATTTATTATGAAAAAATTAATTAGTGATTCTAATTGAAGGCAAACTATTCAAACCATTCCTAGATAAGGACGAATTTAGAAATTGTAGAACTAATTGTATCCTTTATTCACTTTTCATGCTATATTGGCATGGGACCTTGAAATTGTAATAGAAGTCTTAATATTTATTTTTTGTTTTCTGGTACTTCAAAAGATGTGCTATTTTAATAGTAAAAAAAAGAAGGGGAGGCTAATTTAGTAATTATCGATATGTCTGGCTTCTTGAATGCTATTTCAATGCTAAAAATGGCAAAGTGAAAGGATATATACAAAAAATGGAAATAATAAAGTGGGACATATGTGAAGTCAAGTGTATTTCTCTATTCATCTATTGATGCTTATCCTCTTGAAGGCTCTCTGGATGTCTTCATCTTACTTTGATTCTTGGAAACGTTCGTTATTTATTCTTTGCTTCTACATATCGTGATCATAACCAGCTCTCCTGATGTTGAAAAGAGATTTCATGATCTACAACTTTCACTTAGACAAAGGATTAAGCGTTAAAATTTTAAAACATAAGTCATCTTTGCTGCTTGGTTATCTTTCTTTCTTCTTTCATTTTCTTGATCAAATTGATGAATTTTAATGATATTGTAAATTAAGGTGTAGTTGTGTTATTAACAGTAGTTTTATTTATTGATGCTATTAAGAGATTGCAATGATATCCTTTTTAAGAGTTTAATGGAATTTTACCTCTCATGGTGGCATTTTAATTGCTAAGCTTATTGTTGAAAGTAATGTTTCGTACTTGCTGAAATATTTCCTTGGATGCCAGCCATAAGTGCTATTGATATTATCAGCTGGGGACTCTCTTTATTATTCCATGCTAATTGCAACCTCTTTTTTTTTTAGTTGAATGTAGTTTTTTTTTTTAATTGACTTTTTGAACCTTTGTTGCCAGCAGGGAGCTTTCCCCCCTTCTGTTCGTGCTTATGTGGAGAGGTGTTTCTCTCGGTGCAAGGATGATGCACAAAGGGCTGCCAATAAACTTATATTGTCAGAGGTGAGACCTATTTGGAGAACTCGTCATTTTTGAAATGAATCAGTTTGAAATTTAACCATGAACAAATCACATGATATCCTGCACGTGCAATTGCAGAATTTTAATATTAGTTTTAGATGAAAAGATACAGCATTCATTTCAAGCATAAATTATAGTACTATGTGGGGCGTTGTTTACACCCCTGTCACGACGAGTGTTGCGAGCGGCATGGAACCTGTTCGGTCCAGGCAAAAGGGACCGATCGGTCCTTCCAAGTTTGATGTTCTGTTGTATTGGGATTGGGCCGCACGCCTCATTACCCTAGGTTCATATAGCTGTTGTTTGTTATGTGTTTGGGCAATTCTTTGCTCAAATTTCTGTCAGGACAGCTGCTAGCGTCCGGTTTTTCCTTGGAGGTCCGTATTCAAAGGCGAGAAGGTGATTCAGATGTTACTCATCTTGAGGTGGTGTCTATCCATCCCCAAATTGCTACCTGGTTCCTTCTCCCACTCGGCAACCTGTTGCCATCGCCTCTAGCCAGCTGCCAGCCTTACAGCCATCCTCCCCAGCAGCCCACACGGCCCTCCCAATCAACTGTTATCCCTTCCTAGCCTTCCTTGCAGCCTCTCCAGCCTTCTATTCTGCCGTTGAAGAGCTTTCGGCCACGTCCCCGTTTGAACCTCCACTGTTTCCGCCCTTCCCCCTTGCTGCCCTCAAACAGGTTAGCTATCGCACATTGCCCCCGTCTGTTAACTTGCTGTCCAGACCTAGGAAAATCGCTGCTTTGCTATTTTCTGCTTCGCAACTATCTTATCCACCCCTACGTGATCATCGTAATTTGTAGTAAATTCTATGATAGATGTTCCGATTATTATAAATGTAATAAGAGTTGACACCATATATTTTTCACATATAAGATGAAAATAATTATTTATACTTTGTTTGAACATTGTAAGAGATAGTGGTTTATAAACTTAGTAGATTTGCCTCCCATGAAAACAAGTCCATCTATATATACATATATATATATGTGTATATATATACACATATATATATATGTATATATATATGGCTGGCCCAAGCAACTTGTTGGTCCATGAATTCCGGCCAACTAGGGCAGGCCGGTCCTTTGGGTCCCTCTTTTTCTTATGGAGAACTAAAATTACAAATATGTAGTGTTTAAAGCTATGGACAGTTCTTAATTTTGGTGTTTTGAGATATCCTTTAGATTTATCTCTAGTGGGAGAACTGTGGCCTTACTTGTTCAAGTGGTGTGTAACCATGTCTTCCTTGAGTGCAGTTGATGGATCTTCATCATTGTTTGGACTCCCTACACAGCTGCTGCATTCCCTCCTTTTTGGCTATTTATTTTTTACGCTTGAACAGCAGCCATCGTCGATATCTTCCTTCTAATTCTTTGTTGATTCTCAGGCTTTCCCTTATTATTGTACAAACATTCTCAACTCCGTTTTTGATCCTTATGCACTGTCTAGAAACCTTCAATTGGTATCTCACACACACACACACACACACAGATATATATATATATATATATATATATATTAGGCAATGACCAATTCACATCTTTCAATAGTTATTGGCTAATGCATAAGGTTCCTGTGTAAACTACTTATTGCTTTAAGTAGTTTATTCATGATCTTTAAAGTTTAAATATTTATAATTTTCAAATACAATTAAAAACGTTGTAGGATTTTGACGATATGCGCATAAAAATCAGTGATTTTGTGTCTTGCAGAATTGGTTTCAGAGCATAGCGCAATATAAGCATTAGGACATATTTATAAAATAATTAATGAAATGGTTTGAGAAATGGTTCTCATAGAGTGGATTTCAGGCATACCTCACATATATTGGCCTTATTTAGCATAGACACATGATAAACAATAAGAACATTTAAGCACTCATGACATTTAGTCATGGGTGGAGCTCTTTAGCTATGCTGCTCCTTAGATTGAAATTAGACTATTGCATCAAGCATTTTATCCAATCTGCTGGAGCATATATAAACATAACCCTGTCTACTTATATTTATCCTTTTTTCCCTATATTTAGGTTTGTTTAATTGTGTAAATTGATATATATGTCCGTTTACTTAATATTTAACTGTCTATCTAGAATTTATATGCAAAAGTATTGGCCCAAATTCTATAACACCCATAAAGATGTGCATATTTTGTTTCGTCAAACTTCGTACATTTCCAAGTTGGCTCTAAGTTCTTATTATAGTTGATATGGATATCTCAAACTGGCCTGATGAACCATAGTGCTATTGAAATTTTGTCCTGGCAAGTCCTTGCTAAACTACTTTGTTGGATGTACTTGTCAGGATCTAATTGAGCTATGAAATACAATTTTCAAGAATATACATGCATTGTTTTTTATTGTAATATTGAGAGCTTGTTTTCTTAATATTTTTACGGAAAATTCCTTCTATGGCTACAATCTTTTGCGATTAATTTATGAATATATGCCTAGAAGGTTGAGGTTTCATTTCTAATATTTGTTGTTTTTAAGTACTACTTAGTTGATTGGTCCTTTTGTTTCTGTTATTATGTGTTGATAATGAGACGTGTAAATGGTTTTTCTTGTTTTTTATGAAATTTGATATCTAATTAGGCATTCTGTGATCAAGGAAAAAATGAAACTAATCTTGTTGAATCCATTCTATTTTGAATTTAATTTCTTAGGTTATCCAATTTGGTCAGAGGATGCCTTGTTTGTTGTATTGATTTTGATGTTTTTTTTTAAATTTCAGATCATTGCAAAGGCAAAAGATGATGGCACACTTTGGACAAAGAATTGGGATATGGAGCCCCTTTTACCCTTGCCAAACTCTAATTCAAGTGGAGCTGATCAAAAGTATATTTTCCATTTTATTGGGTTTTGCTAGTTTCATATGTGAATGCAATCATGTCTTCTTTTTTTGGCTTGTTTACATGCACTTTTGCTTCTTGTTTGATATTAGTCTATTCCACCATTTTTTTTGGTTCCTGACTGAAAGTTTCTTGGATACCTATATTGAAGTGATTTTTTTTTAAAATTTAGTTGATTGTGCTGGAATAATAAATTATTACTTTTGTGTGCCCTTCATAAACTTGTTTGCAAGAAGGTTGTAGTTGAGATTAAGTCCCACCTAGCTCGAGCTTGACCTCAATTTAATTAGCTTGAACTTAGAAGAGAGAAGCCTGATGTTCATTAGAAGAGATGTGGCAATAAAATTGTGAAAATACCGAGAAATTGAAGAGCATGATAAATTTTGAGAGATAATTAGGGGATCTAGGATTTGTAGGGTTTTTTCATAACTTCGGGAAAGGCCTTGAATTTAAATTTTTTAAGCATATTTGATATTATTTTTTGTCAAATAAATGGGCTCTCTAGTAGATGAATCAGGTTACTGGCTAATCCAGCTTGGCTCATGAGCCATTTATTGAGTCAAGCTTGAGCCGACTTAGCTCACTATATATTTTTTTCTTGGTTCTTTTTATTGAAATGTTTCCAAGCATAAGAAATGAAAAAAGAAAAAGAAAATACTGAACACATAAATTCTCTCTATATGATCTAAAAAAGTTTGAAAATGAGGTCTTGTATTAGGTTACATTGGTGAGCATACTAGTCATCATTTTGAGTATCTAGCATGAACTATTTTTCAATCCGCTTTATGAATTGTTCACCATTGGTTCTTTCTATTTTAAACATTAGTATTTGCTTTATTCAACTTATATATACTTTTTTACTAGTCTCAAGTTGTATTATTATTTTTTTATTTAATTTTACATCAATTGATAAGCAAAAAATTAAGGAACATTGGCATTGAGTGTCTATTTTTATTAAAATATGAATTTTCATAGAAGCAATCTTCCTGGCTTGAATATTGTGATATTGTTGATAAAATTGCGTGATATTTATTTACCAAACTGTAAGTCATGGTTGGTTTGAAAACATGAATGCAAACTCTGTGCATGGATATATAAATTGATAGATTAGTTGGGGTAACAATTGTTTTTATAGTATAATTTGGCATTCACAATATAGCTTTTGATCTTGATGTGTATTGCACAAAATTCATTACAAACATCTCCATGATCAATACTCAAGAATCAACTTAAAGTTGATCATTGATAAAGTCTTCTGGTAATTGGAAACTCTTTCAATTATATATAACAATTCATTATGATGGTCAATGCTCTATTATTTATATATATAATAATTTTTGTATTCCTTTACGCAACTTTAAGCTATTAATCGATGCTTCTCAAGGTCATCAAATACCAGAAGAGGATCATCCTTCATTATCCTTAAACCAGTTATTTATATTATACCAATGTCATATTCTTAGGCATACATTCCACTACATTCTCCAACAACTTTATGGCATATCTTATAAATGTTTTTATATACAAATTCAAAAATGTCTCTCCTCTAATCATCTAGTATCCTCTTAATATTTCATGGTTTCTTCTAAACAATCTGGCTGGACTGCAAATCAAACTTTGCAAGGTTGAAAGCAGTTTTAGTCACCTAACCAAGAGACTAGGATTGTTGGAGAAGCAGGTGCGATCTAGTCATCAAGGTGCAAGAGTTAGCACCGAGAATTGAACTGCTCATTCTTGCTTGTGAGTAGAATTTCAGCAAAAAGAAAACTTAAAAATCCTTTATAGAATTTCAGCGAGAAAAGTAACAAGAACAGAGAATTCCAACAAAAGCAAATAGAAAACAGAAAATAAAAACAACTAACAACAAGAATGTTGTTTTTGATGGAAAGAAAGCTTGAATTAGAAGATCCTTAAGTTCTGATAGCAAATGATACCAATAAAGGGTGTGGATGCAAAATCAATAAGAAAATAGAGGGAAACCTCCACTTTTCTCATCCGGGCTTGGGACCGACAACAGCAGTGTTGAAACTTCAAGCAGAAACAATGTAAAGAACATAAATCGGAAACAAGAAACTGAAAATCAGAAAAATTAGGAAAGAAGATATACTAATCAAATAAAACATACAAGATACAAGCAACTCGAGATATCACTACCAACAACAAAGGGATACAGTTTCTCCCACCTGATGTCATGGATAAAGACACATTTCCATCCAGAAGCCTACGGAGCCAATGCTCTCATATCTTTCTATATCATTCCAAGTCCCCTAATACAACACAAGATCTTCTACTTATAATCAAACGAAAGGCCAAAACCCTAATAAAAGCAAACAAATGATAATATACTTCCTAATATATTGACCCACTACTCGACTCAAGTGACTCGAGCACATTCATTCCAGATCAAGATTGAGATAGTTAGTGTCTTCAATTTACAAAATTTATTTACATAATGTGTTTGAAAAAGCCATCTTTATGATACCCAACCTTTTGATGGGGCTAGCATGTTTTAATTAATCGTAGTTGCTTAACCCTAAAGGAAAGCTGATGAAGCCCATATGCATAAAAAGATTAATGCAAGGTCAGTTGGGTACATGGTCGACCTTTCTTTGGTACTCACCTTTTGGTAATCGGCATACACTTTGCAGCTCTCCTGGTTCTTATCTATTATTCTCAAGGTTTCTTGCATGATATTTGGACTCTTTTTTGGGCTTTTCTTTAGGTAGATTAACAAGAAGTGCTTGTTGATTTTCTTCTTCGTTATCTCTCTTTTTCAACTCATTTTCTCTTAGTGATTGGTAATGTACCCCCTAGTGCAGTGAGAGGTCAAATGGTGGTTCATGAGCTTTGCCACTAGATTGGAGATTCTGGGTACAATATCTACAAATATTTTAGTACTCGTAATCCTAACATGCATTGATTCATGTCTCCCATCCAATGCATCGGTTTTGATTTTCATATTACTGCAGTTTTTCTTTAATCTTTATTGTTCATTTTAATGAAGTTCTATAGATTTAAATTAATGCTTTGATTTCAAAATATGGTCCAGAATTAGGCTGCAAAGGGTTTTTATGTAACTAGTACGAACAAGGAGATAGGGCTTTGTAGTAAATGAAGGGATTATACTGATTTGTTTAATGTCATTGAGAGGGGAGGGTGGTTTTAAACTTTTTAACATTTCTTAAAGAAAAATTTTACAACTATGGAATGATGAGTCTTATAAGGGCAATTTCTAGAATTATCTGAGAAAAAAACATGCTTAAAACAAGATAAACATAAAATGATAACACAGGATGCAAAATCCTTACGAATATGAAAACTAAAAGGAAGGTTTGTTTAGTTCACATTGCTTGTAGCCTATGAAAATACGTGAATGATAGGAATTTTTCTAAATTTTTCCTCTTCTGGTAAATAGAATATGGAGCTTCTTATCCATTAAATCAGCAATCTGGGTGCTGCATTTGAGTTATAAGGCTGCTAAATATATAGATCATTGTTGTGTTCACATATTGGAAGAAAATGAGGCATTGTAATAGCGACTGGAAAAGGATTAAAGGTGAAGTTTGTTGGTTAGTGTGACTGCTACAATAGAGTTAGCAGTTGGACTCTAAGATCCCATTTTATAAAGAAAAGATCTAAAATGATGCAAAGTTTTAATTGGAGACATTATCTAATAAAGAAGTATTTAGGATGGTAGAGGGTTAGAACTGATCTATATGTGCCTCTTGGGCATGATAAGTAGATTTTCATATATTTGGATGAGCCATAAAACATGTGCCCAAAACTTTATAGGCTGAATTTGTTAATATACCCTCAAATTTAACCATCTGCCAGAGTCCATATGTTGAGGTGCCAATCTATTCTTTCTTTTCTAGCCGAGGAATAGCATCTAATTCAACTAGAAATCTGGCTATGAATGGGTGTTTAGCTTCACCGGTTCAAAGTCGTGCTTTGGGGATGACAGTTTCTTAGGTGGCCGGGGCACATAGATAACTTGAGGAAAGTAGTTCAATTGTTTCAACTTTGATTGTTATATTCTAATAGGAAGTTCTTTTTAAATGAAGAATTGGATCCAATTAGTGCCAATTTATATTTTCAACTGAGTAATGGAAGATGATTTCTTGGAGTGATTTTTGGATTGTTTCGTTGATTCTCTCTACATAAATTGCTCACTTTATTCTCATTTGGCTCCCCCTTCTATTTTTGAAATTTAAATTATAACTTTGTTATGTATTACAGTTTTTGCAACTTTATTCTCTGAAACTATACTTGCCAATAATTTAGAACTGTTTCCGAGATATTATCACATTTCATAATTACAATTATTCCAGCTTATGAAGTTTTCCTGATTTAATTTGCTCACTGACCATTGAGTAATAGTTAACTGTTGAAAGCTACGGTGTGGATTATAAAATGCATGAAAAGGATTACAATTCTGGAATTAAGGAATGAAGTTTCACCTATGCACTGCCTTCAAAGAGTCACTAGGTGGTTTTTAGATACTGTAGCGATGTGTAAAGATGACCACGTGTTTAGCTGGTTTAATTTAAGGTACAATCTCGGTAAGCTGGATTAAAAGAAATAATAAAATTTGAATTGTAATTTGCTTTTCCAAGCTGTAAGAATTAAGACCTAGAAAAAAAAAATTAGTAGAAACAAGTGCAAAAATTTATGGTTCTTGTGAGTGATACCGGAATTAACACAAACCATAATAGAAAAAATTTTTATTATTTTTGAAATCAAATAAGCGACGGTTATAATCAACACACCAGAAAAGGAAAATACAACAACATAACACCCAGAAATTTGACATTGCAACAGACACAATACAAATAATCAATTTAGGGTGGAATCTTGGGGCGGTGGTGTAGATCGGCAGGGGTTTGGAAAGGAGGCGTAGACAACAATGCAAGCGGCAGCACCTTGCTATTTGGGTGGCCGCGGCAAGGTGGGCGGGTGGACTGCAAAGAATGGCAGGTCAAACAGCAGCAATTTGCTGTTTAGGGGTGGTGACTGCAAGGTAGAGGTGTCTTGGGGCGATTGTGAGGGTTAGAAGCTTGTAGAAATCTCTGGTACAGCATGGTAACGACAATCGCAAGTGGTAGGGATGCCTGGGGGTGCTGGAACGTGTAAGGACAGAAACTCCTCACTGTCTGGAATGGCGACAACAAGCCAAAACATTCATTTTGTTTCTTGGAAGCTCTATCGAGCTCCCCATTTTTGTGCCTGAAGGGCCCTTACATATAGTTTTTTGTTTTATTCCGTGCCTAAATTTTCAGAGCTTCTTCTATCCAATAAGATGACAGGACCTCTTTTGTACAGGCTTAAGGGCTTTTATTTTGTACCTTTTCGTACTCATTTTTACATATAATGCAATATGTCCACATTCTCGGATGACAGCTACTGGAACATGGGAAAACTCTACGGAAACAACAACAGGTGGTTGTTTGGGAACGGTTGCAACAATAAAGGGTGGCTGGAAGCGATGCGGGAAGGATGTTGATTATAATAGGGATGATAATCACCACTTCGGGAGAGAGATATAGCTGAAGCACATTCGATCCCTTGGATACATCCCTCAAAGGGAGAACAACAGACGCCGATAACTTTCTTGAACAAATCACATGAAAAACTGACTTTCAAACTCTAATACAACATATATATAGAAAAGGGCTAGAAAGGAATAAAAGATAATAGGAAATAAAGCATAAGAAAGGGAAATGAGATTTTTTCTTGCTTTCCCGAGATAGATATTTCCACAGTACTCTATCAATTACAGTTTTGCGGTATGTTTTTTTTATTTTTTTATTTTTTGTCGTAACCTTCCGCTTCAGTAAGGGTTTATAATATCAAAACAAGGCTATGAATTAGCAATGGCCATAGTAAAGAAATATTTTTAGTATTCTTGGCAAGAATCAAAGTGTACCATTACACGCTGCTTTTTCTTTTGCTGTAGGAGTAGAAACAAAAAAAACATTTTGGTCCTGGTTTTTTATCATGTAAAACAGGAAAGGTGCTTAGTTAAGATTTCTGCTCTACCTTGGCATTGCTGAGAATGGCTATTTATGGAAAGCCCTTTTCAGGAGATCATTTTGATAGTCGTTACTTGTTTTGTGTCTCGTTTGACTAACGATGTTAAATTGGACAATGCCTCCACTCTGAACTCTTAACCATCTGTTATACTCTATAGGCTCATGTAACAAGAGTTGTTCAGCTTGTGTACTGAAAACTTTGGTGTGTGGTTTGCTTTAAGAACAAAGTTTGTATTGCTCTTTGAAATGATGTGGCGTTTGTCCAACTTGACACTAATGCGTCAGCTGTATGTCTTACCACTTTCTGTAAAAAAAAAAAAACAAAATAGAAAAAGAAAAAGCTTGATGGTTTTGTTGAAACTTTTTTTAATTATTTCATGAACATCTCTAGTTCTTTTATCGTTTCTTGTTTGTCAAAGAGTTGACATCTGATGCAAGGTATCTCATCACAGCATTTTACACAGTACAATACCATCTCTGCCAAAATTTCCAAGCAGACGCATTAAAAGTCGGTGGGAGCCTGTTGCTGAGGAACAAATAGATCCAAAAGTTGCACCAGCCAACAACGACTCAACAAAGATTATTGGTTGGGCTGAAAGGATGGTTAGTGTTTTGCCTATTTGGAATTAACTAACACAATAATCATTTGCATGGTAATAACGGCAACTCCTTGCATATTACTTTTTTTTTTCCCAAAGCCTCATCGGTTATGTGACTTATTAATATTCAAATATATTTAATGGCACTGGTAAACTTTTGCCATTATCAAGCACCTCGTGTGTTTTTAAGGATTGGAATGAGCTTCTGTAGTTATTTATGTTGATTAGTGGCTTAAATATTCTTTTCTCTTCTTAGGTTGGGAGTCGAACACATAATAATATGGATAATGGTCGGAATAGCATGAAGTTTCCTCAACAATCTCTTTTAAGCAAAACTCCTCAGAGGCCAGAAAAGAAGTCACGTTTTTCTGACACAGCAAACATAATTGAGAATGGCAGTTCTTCAAGTGATAGCGATAAGGAGCAGGCTTTGACTAAACATTATTCTAGTGCAATCTTGCTGGAAAATTCTCCAGAAGAAAGGAAACGGCGTGAACATCGATCCAAGCGATTTGAGAAGGGACAGGAAAGGCAGGCAGATCTCAAGCAATTCAAGCCAAAGGGTGCTGGAGTTGGAAATATATATTTAAGAAGAGCTAATGCTTTGATGCTTGCCAAGAGTTCTGATGATCAGTCTACAGCAGTTGAAGATATCTATTGGGATGCACTTACAGTTAAAGGAACCTGCCAGGATGTAGAGAAACGTTATTTGCGTCTTACATCTGCTCCTGATGCTGCAACTGTATTGTTTCTTTTTATACTTCTAAATTTTGTGTTCAGATGATAATTTTTAGAGTATTTGGTTCCAGTTCAGAAGTTTTGTCACAGAATTCTTATATTTTCATAAAATTAGATTTTAAAATTTTTATTCAATTTTTTTGAAAGAATCCGTTTTGCAGGTAAGGCCCGAAGAAGTCTTAGAGAAGGCTCTGCATATGGTTCAGACTTCTCATAGGAATTATCTTTACAAATGTGATCAACTCAAGTCCATACGTCAGGATTTAACTGTACAAAGGATACAAAATGAGCTAACTGTCAAGGTTCTGCTACACCCTAGGATAGAATTACAATTTTTTTTCTACTTCACGTCTATTTCGTTGGAGTTTCTATTTTCAGTTTTATGAAGTGATGCTGCTGCTGTAGCTTTTTTTTTTAATGAAACTTATGAAGTGATGCTGCTGCTGTAGCTTTTTTTTTTTTAATGAAACCAAAAAAAAAAAAAAATGCAAACTTATTTTTCATTTTTTCTAGGTGTATGAAACCCATGGACGGTTGGCTTTAGAAGCAGGTGATCTGCCAGAGTTTAACCAGGTCTGTTATTGCTCCTTGGTTTTTATTCCAGTGATTTACCATATGCAGGTCCATCCAGATTGCCCCGTTCACTTGTCTATAAAATATAAGTCTAATTTATTTTAAGCTCTTAGATATGTATGGTATAATTGAATTATATGGTAATCGATTTGGAGAGAATTAATAGAGATATGTTTTTAATTGGCAATTTGAATTTATTACAGCTATGTATGATGGTCTATATTTTTCGTTTATGATAGTTCTAATAATTGAGATAGCTATTAAAATAAGTTAGATTATCAGAAAAATGTTTGTAAGAAAATCTTTCAGATTAGTAGAATCACAAGCATGATATGCTATTTTATTCGGTACCGATATAACAATTAATGGTTAATACTATTAAAGGATCAAGTAATATTTAGGTGTGTTGGTTCAAGTATTTTCAATTTATATTATTTTGATTCTTTTTTGCAGAAGAATAGGTACATGGATGATAATAGTAAATTTTAAAGACAAGCTTGGGTGATTAAAACAAAAAAAAACATGCTTTAAGAATGTTACATGATAATAAAATATCACAAGGATATAAGTCTATAACGGCAACTATGCCACTTATGAAGCATGTGTCTGAGTATTGTGCTTTAAAATGTGACTAATAGCCAAGTTTATCATGGTTCAGATGATAGTGTTAGTTTGGATCTGTCATAATTAAGAAGAATGGATAAACAATGATTTCATTAGAAGGCGTTATGGGAGCAGCATTGATTAACGATAGTGTACTTTGATATCTGGGCATGTTCATCAATGGTACAAAATACTTTGATGCAGTGCAGAGGAGCCTATGGCTGGGAAGCGCTGCTACTCATGCCTTCGATTGATTTCAGCTAGAAATAAAAATCCCCGTGAGCGCTGAATTTATCCAGAAAAGAGGAAGTCCACTGGCTGATGATGTTGATTTGCGCTAGAAAGAGAAAGTCCACCGGCTGATGAGGTTGATTTGCACTTGAAAGAGAAAGTCCTGTCAGAGAATAAGCTGCAGCTGGGAGAGGGTACGGAGAGCGCGGGCATTGTATTTCCCCTTGAAAGATAAAATCCACTGGCTTCTGCGGCTGATTTTCACTAGAAGGAGAAAGTGCTGAAAAAGCTGAGGTAGGAAGAAAGCAGCATTTGGGAAGCATAGAGAGGGATCCGGAGTTATTGAAATAGAGATCTAGGCTGTTTTTTAGCTTTGATACCGTGTGGTATCTTTAGAGGAGC